TGAAGCCTGGAAAAGTTCAGCATTCCAGAGTGCAGCTCACAATACTTTGCAATGCATCCTTAAACACTGTACACCTGAACCTAGCTATTGCCATCAAATTATTGCTTAGCTTCTGCAAGAAATTCAGAGAAGAAATCATCACATTACTGCTTTGCTATAGAATTCAAAAAATTCCATTTATGGTAGCAAAAGAATTCATCAACATTCATGAGTTTTTGTCTTCGTTCTTGTGGCTTGTGAATGTGAACTTTAAATAAATTCTTGGAGAGCAAAGATGTTCACCTCTTTGCAACATTTGCTGACACCAAAAGTTTGCAACTCACCCACTTGTAGGAAACCTGAAAATGATACTAATTATTATCAGAAACTTTATTTGATATGAACCTTTTTGCTTAAGAGCCTGAAAAGCATGTTATATTACTATTGTAGGTGAATAATATTAATTTTGAAGGGTCAAAGTACAGACAAGGATAGAAAATGAAAACAGCAAAATTGACACTTACTACTTGGAGTTTATCAGAGACCAGAGCTTGGATCTCTTCTTGCCAATTGCCCACCGATTGTGCTAAAATTCACATTACAAAAGGGATCAATTTCAGCCATACATACCCAAAAATCAATTTATCTATAATGAAAAAAAAAGTATAAAGCCCTGATGAAAAATAAAATTCTAAGTCAAAAAACTTACTACTTGGGGTTTATGAGAGCTAAGTTCTTTTTAGCTACCATGATTCCCAGATAGGAACTCCCTTTGATGTTCACTTCAATCCATAGAAATTGTTTCTTGTTCAGCAACTAAAACAATCAAGGATTGCAAATGATAGAAAAGAAAAGGAAATGAAATAAAAGATGATTGTTTAGGTAGGAAAAGAAACCTTGCAAGAGTGGAAGAAGGCAGTAGAGAGTTGTTGAAATGTTCTCCAGTGGTCAAGTTAGCAAAGCAAAGGGAATTTGTAATTATGACAATATATCGAACATCATAACAAATTCACTATATGAAGCAAACATGCACCAAAGAAACAAGAGTAGAAATCCCATAACATAAAATGCTTAACAACTTACAACACAAACAAATTACCAAAAGAAACAAAACCAAGTTCATCCAATACAATTAAAAAAAGACATAAATTGGTAAAAAAAAAAAAAAATCCAACATTATTGTCAATGAAATAAAGGACTATTGGCAGTGGGTGAGTCCCGTTTTCTTTTGCTTTGCTGTTCCAACCTGAGAAGTTGCCTTTGCTTGAGAAAAGATCCTACAAACAAATAACAGAGCTTTAAAATATGTTGAGAAATCTGGAGCCAACAAGAGATCTAGGAAGTGATCTTATATATAGGAATTGATTTCATTCTACCGACCTGGTTTGCAAGATGTTGAGAAATCTCAGTATACCCAAAACAAAAAAAATCCAAATGAAAAAGGAAATATTAACATTTTAACCGCAAACATTAGCCAATCTTGTCACCCATGATTTTGTTACTATCCAAACCCAAAATCCAATTAATTTCTATATAAATGCAATGAAAGTATAAAACCTGAAAATAATAATGATCAAAGTCAAAATATGGATACTTACATGGTTGGAGTTTATGAGATAGCACAGTAGAGCAGAGGGTGAAGGGTGGATGCATCTCAATCTCAATCTCATCTCTTCCACAATACATAGGCTTCCAATGTCAGATGCACTTTTCGCGTTGTTCCCATTGTGAAGTGATGGAAGGAAGGGTTTTATTGGCACATGTTGTTGGGCTCGCAGGTAACTTATTTACCTTTATCTGAAAAATTGAAGATTTCTCAACAACTCCCCTTTCGGACGAGATGACAGAAATTTTAAGCAACAAAATA